ATTTTCATCTCATTCGACTCACAGAAACCCTAACAAATTCATATTATATATATATATATATTGTAGAGATTATGATATCAATTTCATCTTTCACCTTTTTATTTTTTTGACGTGTTATAAAAAAAATTATCACTTAAAAATTGAAATTTCAAGCATTTTTTTTGTGTTATATAAAGGAACAAATTCAACTACATAAAATAAAATAAAGCAAGTCAATTAAAGAGAACGAACAGAAAAATAGAGCAAGTCAATGACACTATCATTTACATATCGGAGTTTCACAAAATAGGGGAATGGGATGAGAACAGTATTACAATATTATATATGAGCAATGAACAATAATACAATATTATTAGCGGAGAAAAAATGGAGAAGACAAAAGCATAGAAAAAAAAAGAGATGAAAAACTCATTTGAAAATTCTTGAAATGTCACTTCAAACAATTCTTCAAAATTCGATAGGTTTGGATGTGATTGTTTTATGAATTTGGTATTTATAGATAACACTAGAAAGTCCGTCAAAATCCCTCTCACACAACAATCCTTTAAAATCATTATATTTTTGAATATCAATGGATTTTAATGGATTCTTTAAAAAATCTTGAAAATCCAGATTGAATACCACTAAATTGTTTTTAAGTGACATAAAATCCTGATTGAATATCAATGGACTTTTTTACTCAAAAAAAGTCTTTTAAAATCCTACGAAGTCCTAAATCAATACACCTCCCTTAATCTCGTCAAGAACGAAAAGACATGGTAAAGAAACTTCCTTTGAAATGATTTTTACATTTTTATCGAAAACGAATCCATGATTTTTATATTCTAACAAGAAATAATATTTGATTTTTTTATCTTGTATTCTATTTCAATTAATAAATATTTCAAAAAAATAAAATAACAATATTTCTTTTAACAACTCGATAATTAGTATATAATAATATAGAATATAAAATAATATAACATTAAAAAATAGAGATTTTTATATTATATTTTTTATTTTTATAAAAAATTTTGTACAATAAGAGACTAAATGTTGAAATTAAAAGCCTCTAACAACACAATTAAAACACCCATAAGCAAAGATATTTGAATCTATGGAGGAAGTAAAGAGTGGTCAATATTTAGTTTCCCAAAAGCCATGTGTTTAAGTTGTGTCATGATCTTCCCGTGCTAAAGAATAGTAAGAATAGTGGCCGAAGCATCTCATTCAAATTTAATACTCAAATAATTTTAAAAAAAAATATATATAAATTTCTCATTTATTAAAAAGTTGTATTTCAAACATTGATATTAAATTAAGAATTTTATTTTCATTCATCAAATATATTATTTGTGCAAAGTAATTTGATTAATTTTAATTATATATATATATATATATATATCTTTAATGACAGAAAAAATAAATTATGAAACTCTAACAATTAATATGAAGAAATAAAATATTAGGTAATTTATTTTAATATATATAAATTGTTTTTTATTTAATATTAAATATTTCCATTATCAATTACTAACTAAAGAAGTAGTGTAAATGTTCGAATTATGAGTTAAAACTTCAAAGATCCGTGTAAGGCAAAAGAACAAAAAGCATCACACATTCACACTCGCACCAAATGAATTTATGATCTAACGGCACTTTAAAACCATTTGAAAATCTTGTCTGTCCCAATGGAATGAAACAAGACAAGAGAGGGTTCCATTCCAGATCTACTCACTCTCTTCACGTTCCTCTGACGTGTCACTCGACACTCACCACCATTTCATATGACACTTTAACTCCACTCACCTTTCTCTTTTCTGTTTCAATTTGTAACTTGAAGCAAAACCCCATTTCGTATTCTGCAATAATCAATCCATGGAGTTCACTGAATCTTACAAGCAAACGGGTCCCTGTTGTTTCTCTCCCAATGCTCGCTTCATTGCCGTTGCCGTCGACTATCGCCTCGTCATACGGGAGACCCTTTCTTTCAAGGTTTCGTTTTTTCTCAACCCTTCTTCCAACACTCCTTCAATTTTCAATTTTTTCTTCTCTGGGTCTCGTGGGGTGCACTCTCTGGAGTTTTGAATTTCTGGGACTTGGAGTTTTAGGGACTCTTTTTGGAGACCCAGTTTGAGATTAGTGTTGAGAATTTCAGCATTTGGCCTATTTTTGGAGATCTGGGTTTTTTGTTTTGTTTATTTTGTTGTTTCTGTTTTTTCACACTTGACAAAAAACGAGAGTCAAAAGGCTAATGCTTTTGGTTTACCTAGGTCATTTTGCATATGCATATTTCTAAGGAATTAGAAAGTTGGTGTGGTCTTTTTTTTTTTTTTTTTTTTTTTTTTTTTTTTGTTCTTTTTTTTTTTTTTGTTCTTTTTTTTTTTTTTGTTCTTTTTTTTTTTTTTGTTCTTTTTTTTTTTTTTGTTCTTTTTTTTTTTTTTGTTCTTTTTTTTTTTTTTGTTCTTTTTTTTTTTTTTGTTCTTTTTTTTTTTTTTGTTCTTTTTTTTTTTTTTGTTCTTTTTTTTTTTTTTGTTCTTTTTTTTTTTTTTGTTCTTTTTTTTTTTTTTGTTCTTTTTTTTTTTTTTGTTCTTTTTTTTTTTTTTGTTCTTTTTTTTTTTTTTGTTCTTTTTTTTTTTTTTGTTCTTTTTTTTTTTTTTGTTCTTTTTTTTTTTTTTGTTCTTTTTTTTTTTTTTGTTCTTTTTTTTTTTTTTTTTTTTTTTTTTTTTTTTTTGCGTACTATATGTTCTTGTCTAGTGGCCGAAATTAAAATTTTGACTTTTGCAAATGCAGAAAAGTAATTTGGGAGAAGATATCCATCTATTTAGTGTCTGTCAAATCCGTTTTAAGGAATACTCCTTAGTAATGAAAAAAAAAAAATATACACATTTTTCATACATATAAAAAATAGAGTTAAAAGCCTAAATTATTTTTTGGTTTACCTAGGTCATCTTGCATATGCAAATCTGAGGAATTAGAAAGTTGTAGTGGTAATGGGGATTTTTGTTTTTGTTTACTCTGCTAATTATGCACAATTTCCATGACTCATTGATTAAACTGCTGAATTCCAATTATGTGCCTCTAGTTCATGATTTGCAATCACTCTTTTTGGCTTATGCAGGTTGTGCAGTTGTTTTCATGCTTGGACAAGATTAGCTATATTGAATGGGCGCTTGATTCTGAATACATTCTTTGTGGTCTCTACAAAAAGCCAATGATACAGGCTTGGTCACTTACCCAGCCAGAATGGACATGCAAGATAGATGAAGGACCTGCTGGTATTGCATATGCGAGGTGGAGCCCAGATAGCCGCCACATACTCACCACATCGGACTTCCAGTTGCGTTTAATTGTTTGGTCATTGTTAAACACAGCTTGTGTGCATTTACAGTGTCCAAAGCATGCTTCCAAAGGAGTTTCTTTCACGCGAGATGGAAAATTTGCAGCAATATGCACGAGGCGAGATTGCAAGGACTATATAAATCTGTTATCTTGTCAAACGTGGGAAAACATGGGCAATTTTTCCGTGGACACTCAAGACTTGGCTGATATTGAATGGTCGCCTGATGATAGTGCTATAGTGATATGGGATTCACCACTTGAATACAAGGTAATGACAATGTATTATGTTTTTCTTCCCTATCCCTCTTAACCTTTGAAATATTATGGATTAAAATATTCCACTGAATTTAACCAGGGGTGAACTAAAGAAAACATCAAGAATTTGCAATTCTAACAGATGATCAGAACATGACGTGTTACTCAAGTTGGTTCTCAATCCCACTGCACCCACTTAAGTTGGATTAGGGATGTTAGTGAAATTAATGCGTTAAATATTTGCATAATCATCATTATTAAAGTACATGCATTTGATAATCAAAGTTTCATGCATGTTTTCTATATCTATTTATATGTTGCTTATAGTCTGTTGCTACTTGCTTTTATATAACCCACTGGTTATGCTATAAATTATTGTTTGAAATTTGTGGTATATACAATTTCCTAAAAATTCGTCGTTTTTGTTTAATATAGGTTCTAATATATTCTCCAGATGGAAGGTGCCTTTTCAAGTATCAAGCATATGAAAGTGGATTGGGAGTTAAAAGTGTGTCCTGGTCTCCTTGTGGTCAGTTTCTGGCAGTGGGAAGTTATGACCAGATGCTGCGGGTCCTGAGTCACCTAACTTGGAAGACATTTGCAGAGCTAATGCACCCATATACAGTCCGAGGCCCTTGTTGTGCTGCTGTTTTCAAAGTACTTCTTTTAGACACTTCCCATGTTAATAGTAATGCATTTTGAAAATTTTACTTACCTTGCCCCTGAAATTGCAGGAAGTAGATGAACCACTACAACTTGATATGTCTGAATTATGTTTGAGTGATGATTTTTCCCAAGGGAATGATGGTAAGCACAATTGCTGTGGGAACCAGTTCTTTTTTCTTTGGCAATCACACCACTTTTTGTAAAGCATTGTTGCTTTGTAATTTGACAGCAGGAAGTCATTTCCTGAACCATTTTTTGTGGTAACATGCCAGGAATTGCTGAAAATTTCCAACTTTAGATAATTTTCAATAAAACTTTCTTGAGTAACATATCTTCTTGAACATTAATGGGGTTATGTCAAAGTTCGCTTAAATTCAAGAGACTAAAGAGATTGAAAATTGCTTGGTTTATTTTTCCTGTTAGGTATGATTTATAGCTTGTGATCATTTGAAATTTTCTTTCTTTTATATTTTGATAACTCAACTAAGGTTATTTGCCACTGGACTTCCAAATTGGTTTTCCGTGCACATTCTTCTCTAATTTGTGTGAAAAACAACTGCTTCCCATGAACAAGCCAGTTACTTGATCATTTCATTAGCCATTAGATTTTTTCTTTCATTATTCTCTTCCTCATGGTTATAGAATATAGATGACATAGAAGTATGAAACCATTCATGTATTTTCACCTAACAAATTAAGCTTTGGGTGACATGATATTAGAGTTAGGTTGTCTACACTTCAAGGCTAAAGCCATTCTGCATGAGGGTTGTGTTATAAAACAACATTATGAAACCATTTATCTGTCTTTATCTATCTGCTTAAGCTTTTAGGATAGTTGTTTCGTGACACTCATTCTTCTTTTTTTTCCTCTTCTTATTTTTATTTCTCCAAGCAGATTCTCCGGAAGAACCGTTTAGAGTCAGGTATGAGGTTATGGAAGTTCCTATCAATTTACCATTCCAAAAGCCTCCTGCTGAGAAACCTAACCCCAAACAAGGAATTGGTAAGCTACACATCTCTAATTTTCAAATGCCATAAATTATGAGCTTTCTTGTTATGTAATTTAATAGTCACATAATAGAAGCAACGGCTCTTAATTACATTAAGTGTAACTAACTAAATAAAGAAATATTATGCGTGTGAAAGTTATAAAACTGTAGGAAAGTTGCAGTTTATTAAAGAAAAAATGTTTTGGATAAATAAAATTACTGAATTGTCCTACACTAAAAGAAGAGGGTGTGTAGTTACTAAAATAAATAAAGGGTAAAAATATCTTAAAAATATGTACACGAAAACATTGTTTCGCCTTTATATATTTTTATAGATTATAGATAAATAGAAAGAAATGGAATTTCTTAACTTGGATATGATTTTCTGATCTGTATGATTTTTGGGTTGCCAAGTATTAGCATGAAGCAGAATCATGACAATAGAGACAAAGTTGGTAGCTTGAAGCCTTGAAGGCTTGAACCAGTGAGTAGATCAGGTTGCAAACTGATCAAGTGATTGGTATATGGAAATGCAACCATTCATGTTTTAGCAAATACCTTGTACACCTCCATAGATTTTGTTAGTATCATATCGTCATAATATTATTTAGTTTCTATCTTAACATGGTCCTCAAGGCAGTGCCATCCACCATGACTTGTAACAGCTTCTAGGTTTATACGTTTAGAATTTTCATCCAACTCTCAAATATAGGCTAGAGACTACTTTATTATTCTTTAGTTCATATTCTTCATTGATGACTCTTTGGTTTCTGCAGTATCACATCTGTTTCTTACTTTCTTTCAATTGTAGTTTGCTGAACTGACTGAATCATCTTGTTGTCTTTGAACTCATTAAATGTCTTTTGTCCCTTGGTTTGCTTGATGGCTCTTGGAAGCTATAAATAAAGGTTCCCATATGACTAAACACATTTTTGTTGCAGGGATTTTGTCATGGAGCAATGATAGCCAATACATATGTACTCGTAATGATAGTATGCCTACAGTACTTTGGATATGGGATATTCGACATCTTGAGCTTGCTGCAATCTTAGTGCAGAAGGATCCTATCCGAGCGGCAGCTTGGGACCCAACATGCACACGCCTTGTTGTCTGCACCGGAAGCACTCACTTGTATATGTGGACCCCATCAGGCGCTTACTGTGTTCATGTTCCTCTACCACAATTTACTATAACAGACCTGAAATGGAATTCTGATGGCAGTTGTCTACTTCTTAAGGACAAGGAGTCATTCTGCTGTGCTGCTGTACCCTTGTTGCCAGAATCTAGTGAATACAGCTCAGATGATTATAAGGAATGAAACAAAATGATGGTAAATATGAGTGGCGATGTATCTCTGTGCATCTGGTAGATAAAGATCATACAAAATCCTGCAGCTGTGAGAGTCCGTTTGAATGGAGTAGGGAAAGTAATTCTCAAGAGAAAAGGCTTGTTTGTTACTGTCGCTTCCAGTGGATCAGGGAGGGTATGTTTATAAGCATTTTGAGGAAGGGGGCAATGGAGCAAAGCTATGTAGGAACATTTGGGAAAATTCAATGGCCATCTCGGCCTTTGTTGTAGGAGCATAGATTAAACAGCATTATGTTTTCCTTTTTGATTTGGAAGCCTTTAAGGTGTAATGCTGTTGATTGGAATGCCACTTATTTTTCTATCTTTAGTATATTACACTTGAAGTGCAAGTTATGAAATTGCCTCTTCAAATTCCTTCAATGTTTTCTTTTTTTTTTTTTATGTTGCATAAGTGCCTTTTAGAAATGTTTCCATCACTAGATTTCTAGTAATGGAAATTATGTAGCAAAATTGAGTCGCTTGAAAAGATGTAGTAAAAGTTTAACTATTTTCACAATCTTAATGCATTTTATATATTGAATACGTTAAATATTTTTATTTTTATTTAATATTTTTTTATACTATAATGGAAGGATTTATAGGAATATATAGTACCACCCAGCAATTTCGACAATATAAAAATATGCTAAACAACTGTGATTAGATAAAAAAAAATGATATCATATATCATTAAGAATTAGATAATCTGTAACACATAATGGACATGTATGAATAATGATATACATAACAAATTTTTTCTTTTCATTTTATGCACTTAATACATAAATTAAAAAATATATAAAGAAATATTTATTATATTTAAAAATTAAATAGAAGTGAGTTATAACTCCGATTAAAAATTATGTCTCAGTTATATGCATTATTGGTCTTATCTATGATGGGAAAAATAAATAAATTAGTGCAACTACATATTAACTAACCGGTAGCAAGATCCAAATGCTAAAGAGCGAAGCTTATTGAATCTCTTTGGCAAAGATTCCAATAATGGATGTGTCGATTTCTCTCTCTACAACGCGTCCTCCGTTTTCTCTCTCCCGCCAACTTTTCCTCCGCCCGCGACTGCTGCGTTTCTCCCCAAATTTCGGAGTCTTCCTCCGCAAGCCGCCGTCGATTTCCCGCCAAAACAAACTCGCCGTCACAGCTCTTCAGCTTTCGAATCAGACTCAGAATGACGATTTTGTCCTCGAAGACGTTCCGCATCTCACCAACTTCCTTCCCGATTTGCCGGTACCACCAACAACTCTTCCTATTTTACATTTCTTCTTTTCAAATCTGCTTTCGATCACGTTCTTCATTGTGATTCTGTGGACTAGCACGTAGAATGACGTAAATGTAAAATGAGTGAAAGGACATAGCTATGTTTGAATAAACTTCTCAGGAATCACTTCTAGGAAGGAAGGAGAACTGAAATAAAATTTTCCATAACCTAAAACTAGTTTATGTTTAAGTTGAAATTAAGATGTTTGAATAAACTTCGTCAAGAATCACTTCTAACAGTGAAAAATAGGAAGGAAATTCAGTTATTATGTTGTCTAATAATGGTAAAAGTTAGTTGGTAAAAGTTTCATTAGTTTCATTTAAATCCTCCTCCTCATATATTCTATTTTTTTATTATGTTGGTAAGATATAAATATATTATTATGTAATTATAGTTTTTTGATATTTTAGTTTTTATAAACTGTAAACCAATTAGAAATCTCCATAAATATGACTTCTAAATCAGCTATTACATAAGTCAACAATCTTAAAGCAGTTTATGATTGGATTTAAATGTATAAAAGCTTTTACATTGTTAGTGCATATATTTTTTATTCATATTTTGTTAAAAGAATGAAAATAAATAGTGCTAATAGTGAATATTTAAAATAAATAATATGTATTAAAAAAACTATTGAAATAAAAAATATATAATATTAAAATAATTGGTACATGAAGTATTTTATTAAAATATTAAGTGTTAAAAAGAGAAAAATAATGATAAATTATAAGCTAAAATGTTACTTCAAGTAAACAACTAAAGAAACACTATAAACTGAAAAAACAAACACATTTACCACCAATTATATTTTGGTCAAACAAGTTTATAAACTAATTCTATATTGGTTGAGCAGTGTGCGTGAGTTCAATTCTTATGGATAAAAAAATTATAAACTAATTAAAATTGACTTCTGAAACACAGAGGTGGATCAGAAAAACACACTATGATCTTTTGGAGTTGGGCAATTATTGTTCCCATACTCAATCACTAATTTTTGGATTGTTGTACTTTGCTTCATAGGAGGTTGTCTCTGGTTCTCTGGGTCTTATACTTGTACATAACCTTTTCAAATATTTATTTTAATTCCAAATTCTGCTATTTCAGTTTTTCTCTTTTCTAACTCTTTTGAAAACGAAAGCTCGTCCATCAAACCCAAGGACTTCGGTTATAAGGTTGATACTTGATACAAGTGATCGGTCAAAAAGTTTAATAAGTATGAATTTACTTTGTTGGAATTCATGGAAGCTTTGATGTCAGCTTTTCAGTATATTTGAGAAGCAATAGGTTTGTCCAGTCACATTGGAGTTTATGTTAGACAGTTTGTTGTTCCAGGAAGGATTTAAGGTCTTTTGGATGTGTGCTATTAGAGTATTATGATTTGTACCGTGGATAGTAATGCTGTACTTTTACATCATGATTTTTCCAGGAACATTTATTATTGAAATGGTTGTCTATTTTGGCTTCTCAATGAAGTCAGCATCCTTCTTGGGGCATTTTCTTGTGGATTTTGAACAAAACCTTATTTTAGCCTCTCATTAATATTTTCATTCTCAATTTAGTCCATCAGATCATTTTTAACTATTCAGTTCCTCACTGTCTCTGGTTAAGATTTGCATCAATTTTGTCCCTTACGAGGTGAACTTAAGGTAAATTTTGATTGCAATAGGACTAACTTGGTGTGGATTTCAATAATTGGTTAATGAGGGACTACTGTGCAAAAAATTGAACTGAGATACTAAATTGAGAATGAACATGTTAAACTAGAGTTTTTGGCAACATACGATCAGTAAAGGGATTGGGGCTCTTCAATGCTGTGTGTTTGATTTTCTTTGTTCTTCTGGTGTATTAGTTGTTTAAAGGGGTTTTTTCCTTCCAAATATGTTTTCTCTATGCTGAATAATTTCCTTTTCAAAAAAGATTTGCCTTTTTTTCTTCTTCTTTCTTTTCTAACCATATTGGTGATTTCTGATATTTCCTTTCTTGCAGTCATATCCAAACCCATTACAAAAGAGCCAAGCTTATTCAATTGTCAAGTAAGTCCACTCTTACAATTTGTTTAAAAAAATGTTTGTGATTTCGCACTGTAACTTAAAAGACTATATTTTCTAGTTCTCAAAACTTTTTGTTTCTTTTAATTTAAGGAGAAATTTTGTGAGCCCAGATGATGTGGTTGCACAAAATGTAAGTGACACAATTCTCTCTACACTTGTTTGTGAATTATCTTTTTTATGAATGATTGATGTCTCTCAGCATTTCTCTATATTTCTTATTATGTTTCATGTCCAGGTTGTTATTCAAAAGGAAAATCCTAGAGGAGTTCATTTTCGGCGGGCAGGACCTAGAGAAAAGGTATAAAACATGGAAATGTCTGATCCTTTGTAATCTTTAGAAACTGATAACACCTTATATTATTAGGTTTTTTTCAAGCCAGAAGAAGTACGTGCTTGCGTGGTGACTTGTGGTGGATTATGCCCAGGAATTAATACAGTGATTAGGGAAATTGTATGCGGCTTGAACAACATGTATGGTGTTCAAGACATACTTGGGATTGAGGTGAGTTTTGTTAATTGAAGACTTAATGACTATTAGTTTAAATTAATAGTGTTATTTTTATAAATTTTAATAATAATCTGATTATTCTGTTGTTTGTCGAATGGTTAATGCATCATTTCTGGATTTTAATCTCTTCTTTTGTAGCTGAAGAAATTTATTAAGATGAAGAGAAAAAAAATTACAAAGAGAAAGCCGGGTAAGGAATCCTCCTAAACAGAAGAACAAAGAGAAAACGACTGAGAAAAAGAGGGAAGGATTGCATAAAACATCAAAAATCATAACAAATTTGCTAATGGAGGGGAGCCACAGAACTTTTTTTACCAGCATTTTATGATTTTTGCTAGAAAGACTTAAATATCTCAATTCTTAAGGTCGAAAATTTTAGGTTATTTTCGTTGATAAAAATAGTTCTTACTGAAAGGAAATTTTTATATGGGCACATTAAGAAGCAAAGGGTATAGTTGGAACAAAGTATAAACAGAGTGGAAGTTGATAACACTTTAAAGACACTCGTATTCTTCTTCAACTAAATACACCAATTCAAAGAACTGCATAAATTCAGCATCAGAGTTTTTTCTCCTTGTTTATCAAAAGCCTTGAATTTGATTCAGAAGGAACTTTTCGAAAGTGAAGGTACTACAATGAAACTTCATCAAGTCATACCAAACTAATTATGTAAGGAAAGTACCTGCCTGATGGTCACCTTATAAGTTAGAACATATAACCATACATTAGATGTAATTATCTGAAAAGATAGGTAGCTTGGCAACTTTGGAGTAATTTTTTTGAGCTTTTAGGAGATTACTGGTTTGTCCCCTAATTTGGAAGCAGAAGTGATAATAAGATATTTTATGTGGTGCACTTTACCGGAAGAATGGAAGTTAATTCCAGACTTATAAGAAATAAATTTCCTTCTCTACATGCACTGTGTGACCGTATCTTTTTTTTTTTTTTTTTTTTTTTTTTTTTTTTTTTTT